ATTGCAATACACATTCCGTGCCTACTCTGTGCTCTAAGAGCTTCTTAAGGAGTTTCTGTTTCTTGGAATCTGGGCAGTGGAGATTTTGCTTTGGGGCAGCCCTGTAATCGCTTACTTTGTTACTTCAGTCATTAAAAAGGCCAGCAACGTTCGCAAAAGTGATAAACTACTGTATACGATTCTGTACCTACAACTGGCATTTCCACCTCCTACCAGCAGAGGTCGCCTTTGCTTTCCTCCTGCTAGGATTTGATCACAGTAGAGCAGGGAAGTTACAGAATTTTGTAGCAATGCGCCCAACTTCCTTGACTCTCCTTTGCAGTGGATCCGAAACACATTTCTGTGTGACACATGTGCCTGTGTTTTATACCAGATGAATTCTTGATTGCAGGTATGTTTTAAAATTTGCTTTAATCTCTTACAATTTTGCAGGAGATTTGTAAATGTAAAACCTGTACCGATTAGCAAGATTCAGGACTGCCTTCAGTCAGGTGTGTTATCTGAAATGTGTCTTACTGGACATAGGTAGAAGAAAACCCACCTGTGTTTGTTCATCAGCATCAGATAGACATAGTAAGAATCCTTAACGCGCAAGATGAGAAGATACTGCACTGAAGCTTTAGTTGCCCAAAATAATGTACTTTAGCTATAGGATATGTTTGAAACCAAGTCCTTAGAAAACGGTCAACAACAATTATCACCAGTGGTTAAGGAACTAGTTAGACTGAAATCCGTCAGAAACTGAGGTTACTTAGGACCAGGACTAAGACCCATGGATCTGAGGCGCTACCTTGATGTTCTGTGTGAAAGATTGTGCACTTTACAGATGAAGAAAGAACTCAAGAGAAAACTTTCCAGGAGTACTCAGCGCTGACAGGAGCAACTTTATGGGTTCTCACTGAATTTTGCACAGTATCCTAACAAATTCCAGAACTGCTTAGAATAAGAATAAATTAAATTGGAGACCGTGCTAAACAACGACACAACGTATTTGTATCTTTTGTGTAAAAAATAATATTTTATCAAACAAGTCCCAACTACTAGAACATAAGTAGACATGTAAACTGATGACAATGTTTAGGTTATAACTTATTTTTAGCGAATAACATATTTTCAGTGTGTACAGTATTTCAACAATGTAAATATCAATGTTTAATTGATTTTTAATTTTCTATGGATATACCTTTGGATGTTGAAGTAAATTATTCTATTATGGCTTATTTGAAAAAAAAATTATAACTTGAGAAATACATTCATATTTAAATGAATATAAGATGGATCACCCTCACCTTCACCATGGTGACAATGCTGCTGTAGATGAAGGAGACGAGGAAGAGGAAGATGAATGTATAGGCAGTGGTCCAGATCTGCTGCACATCTTCCTCGGGGATTAAGATGTGTGCATTCTCATCAAAGTAGTCCTGCTCTTTGATGATGTCTTCGATGGAGGAAACAAGAACATTTCAGTATTAAGGCCGATATAAATCTAGGAACTGTCTCCCAGGAGAACCCAGAAATCTATTACATTCCCTTATGTTTCAGCAACTAAGAAGGAAACATACAAACACAAAACAGGATAATTGGTCATCGATCCAACACCTTCTTCAGGTGTCACAATAAAGGAATAAACCTTTACCTGTTCCTTTGCTGCCTATGCATGCCTGTGTGTGCTGACACAGCTACCTACTTGAACTTCTACCCAATGTTTAATAAAGGCACACATCCTGCAGAAGAATTGAAGTATGAATACAGTGTACTGATCTTGATGATAAGACAGAAATATTCAGTATACCTAGCTTGCTAATATTGTGCAGGAGATGTGTTTTGGAGGCTTCATGGACGATCTTGCAGGTGAAAACCATTCCTGGGGCCCATTCTCCATCAGGAATGTGAAGAGTGCTCCGGCTGGTGAATTTCCCGTCACTTCTTCTGGCTGGCTCACTGTTTGTGTGGTTCTGAGGGGCCGGGTCCTTGTTTAAAAGCCACATGATGTCGATGGCTTTAGGACTGAAGTCGTACACCAGGCAGACAAGTTCACTGGAAGAGCGCAGGAGTTTTGCTTTCGGAGGAGACGAAATCACGGAGACTGAAAAACGGGGGAAAGGGGAAAAAAATATTTGTGAGATCGGTACACATGGGACTTGTATGGGAACAAATGGCAAATGTGGTAGGATCTGGAGCTCATGAAAAAGTAAATGATTTACTACAAACCCTCTTGGTCTGAGTTATTGAAACTTCTTGGGCTCTATCCTGAGACTGGCTGCAGTAGACGATTCTGATGCATATTTTAACCCCAACATTTTGAATAAGGATTTCTTTTAAACACCAAATCATACTATACTTCTATCATTTGCTAATGTTAGGTTTGCTAAAGGAAGCAGCAGCATAGTCTGGAAATCAGGGGGTTTGTTTCTATAGTCTGTAGCCCTTGCTACATGTCTATTTATAATATTCAGGTATTTAACTGTGTGCAGGCATCTTTGTGATGGATTGCTTTACATTTGGTAGGGAGTTGCCTACTGTCATTCTATTTAGAGTTTATTAAAACTGGGATGTGTTCTCTGCTGGAGAGCCATTAAATTTCAATTTTTGTTCATTTTTCCTAACATGCTAAAATGCTGCAGAGACCATATTTGCCAACCTGAAGCAGGTAGGAAAACTTTATTCATTACATTGCAGAACTTTATTCAATACATTTTAGAACTTTGCTCACCAAATACATTGTCGGCGGAGCCCACAATCGGCTTTGATGAAGACTCGTGCGAGACGTCACAAGCGTACAAGCCTTTATACCAGTCGGACTTGGGGATTTGAAGTTTGCTGTCCATGGAGTATGTGTTGTGCTGGGGATCTTTTGTTGCAGGGCTGTTGGTGTACAGAGATGTCGAGAGCTCTGTACCGTTCAGTTTCCACTTCACAAAGATCTCAGCTGGGAAGAACCCAGATACCAGACACACTAGAATGGCCTTGTCTGAATTTTGCAGGTCAGATTCGGAAGGTTCGAAGATCTGAATTGTAGGCTGTTTGGGATCTGAAATATAAATTGAAGCATTCATGTGCATTTTATTTATGTACTTCAATGGAGTGTTGAGGCTAACTCATTTAGATTGCAAAAGTTTAAAGCTTTATGATGCCAGAGGTCAGATATCACTACAGACTAGGAGATGCTTATAAGAGATACATACATTTCTACTTTTTTTAGATGAAATAGCTTGTTGAGCTGCAAAAAGATGCCTGATAGTTTACTTGTGTAGTATGTAAGATACATAGTACATACTGTATTTATCACTGATGAAAACAACTAGCCTGCTCTGCAGTTTATTGTTTAAGGGTTAAAATATAATTTGTGGATAAGTAGCTCACGGCTTATAAGTATTTCATACTTGAAAAATCTATCAAAAATTATCCAAATTTGTGAAAAGGAGCATGTCAAAAAGAATTGCAATACTTAGCCATTCACATCCTCAAAGGAAGGTAGCAGTATTATGAGCTTTGTCATATCTACGGAACATTGATTAACGAAAGAACAGTGGTACTCAGATTTTTTTTTGCGGTTACTGGGAAAATGCCCTTTTGAAAATGGATATAGAACGTTACCTTTGAATTTTGCAATTTGCAGTTTCTGTGTCTGGTCTGAACAAGGGTGGCTCACTTCACAAGTGATTTGCTTGTATGTGTTCCATTCTTCTGCCTTCACCATCAAAGAGCTGTTCATGGACTCTGTCCCATTGGTATTGACCACCGGTTGTGTCTTGCCACTACTGGTGCTGAGGGATCCGCTGACTGTCCAGCTGATGGAGAAGTCCTTCAAGTTGTAGCCAATCACCAGACACGTAACTGTCAAGTCTTTCTGCTGAGAACTCTCCCGAAATGAGGGCCCGGAGATGAATACCTCTGCCTTCACGGGGGTGTTCCGGAAAACTGGAAGAAAATAATAGGTTATGGAAAACGCAGAAGAAAGCTATGCTTGGAATTCTCCAAAAGTTGTGTGATGCTTTTGTTGTGGGTTTTTTTTTTTCCTCAAGGTAAACCTCAATGCAAAAAGGTAGAATCTTCACGAAATAATGCAAAATAAATTTGGAACAAACAAAACAGCATGTTTTACTCCGACCAACTGACACTTCAGTTTGAGGTGGAATAATGTGGAAATCTTTCGTGAATCGATACCAATGGCGAATGGTTTTATGCTCCTGAATGCTAAGTATTTTCTTGATGAAGCTACGGCCCTGGTTACTCCTGCATCTGTTGACACCTCTGTGTGGTTACAGCAATGGATTTTGTCACATGGGGTCCACCGTTTGTGCATTTTACCTTCTGTCTGGCAAAGAGCATGGTGAGGGGAATGGGTATCAGCCCAGAGTTGTGATTGTGTGTTTGTGGTTGTGGCCACGGGGCTACTACTGTATGATAACTGCAAATACTGTATCTCTGTGTGACATTTTCTCTCCTTTTCTCTTTTGTTTTCTAACTGTTCCTCATTTCCATCCTGCTTCATGCACACCCCATGTCATGAGCCCTTATTGAATGTTAATTGGTTGGCACACAAGCAATGACATATACAGTATACAGTATGCTGTACTAAGTAAATTCAAGATTAAAACTAGACCACCTTGATTATAAAAATGTTTGGTTATGTAGCTGTGTAACCAAGAAAATATTATCGTAACACCAACTTCTTGTAGCATGGGGAGGCATTCCATTTGATTATTTATTTTTTATTTTTTTCTGAAGGATGTGAAGTGAAAGTGTTGCTGCAGAGGCATTGAAGCAGAGGCATGTCTCTTTGTCATGATGCTAGTATGATGTCATTAACACACTACTCTTAGAATATGGTCATTTTTTTCTGACTGAAATAACATGGTATTGAAAGATCTGGTAATTAATAATATTATGTCAGTGAACTAAAGATTGTACACTCATACCCCGGTATAAGAACGTTCTGTTTACAAATTTTCACTAATCCGAACATGAAGAATTTGTCCCTTGTAATTCACTTTAAAGGCCGAAAGCGACTGACTTTGGCCAAGAACCTTCTGGGAACATTTGAGTTCAGTGCCACTGAACAGCTGTTTGCTTCTGTGTGGATGCAAGGCATTGTGGTTAAGGACGCCGTGAGGCGGCAGTGCTTTGTGTCCGATCACAACAGAAGCTTTTTGTTTTTTTTGTAATTGCTGTTCATAATGGGCCCTGAGAAGAGAAAAATATTATTTAGCGCTATAGTCGACAGCAGTATGCACATCATTCTAGCTGATGGCTTGGATGGCGATTTATTGAAAAAAAATGAAAAATGTAAATATGATATCATTAGTTATTTTACAGCTATAGTTGGCTTATTTGAGCAGAACTGCGTTGTTCACTAAACCTGCTGTAATGGTCTGTATGGTATTATAGGTTTGGTGTGGTTTTTGAGTGAACTTGTCTTCAGTTCAGTATGGGGTGGAATTTTCCCCATAAGATATAATGGAATTTTTTATTTTTGATATATGATCTCCCATCCTCCAAACAGATTTTCAGGAATGAACTAGATTCGGATACTGAGGTATGAGTATATATATATTGCTTGTCCTGTATGGTCATTTTTTGCAGTAATTTTTGCAGTCTATAATTATTGCAAATTCAGTATTGACAGTGGACTCTAATGAATACATTTATAATAATATTGCTTTGAAACCTTGTAAAAAACATTTTGAAAAAGTAATTTAAAATCTTATATTAAGGTACCAAATTATTATTAACAGTGCCAAAAAGATTTTCTTATCCAAACAAATTGAATGAATCTTTACCAATAAGATATATTTTTTACCCCTTCATTGTGCAATTATTTCTGGTGTTTGATGTTTGATCAAATCCAAAGTCTACCGCTCAGTGGTCAGACCAGTGGCCCTATACGGAACTGAATGCTGGCCAACGACAAAGAAACATGACCAGGCACTCAATAAGATGGAAATGAAGATGCTGCGATGTACCCTCGGTTTGACAAGACTAGACCATGTCATGAATGAAGAGGTGCGAAAACACTCAGAGTCGCCCCAGTCACTGAGAAAATGAGGGAATCGTCCCTGCGATGGTATGGACACATGCGCCTCAGCAATGACACATCAATGGCAAAGACCGCCCTCGAATTGAATGTGGAAGGCCACCGGCCCCATGGGCGACCATTTCTGCGCTGGCTGGATCGGCTGAAAGGCGACATGCGCCTCGCAAAAGTCTCCTGCCTAGACGCCGCAGACTGTACGAAGTGGAAAAATCGGTGCAAACAAGCAGACCCCACATAAGTGGGAAAATGCGAAGAAGAAGAAGATGTTTGATCAATGTGCTTTAGATTGTGCAACAAAGACTAGGGCTTTTTGATAGAATATCATCAGATGTGTGAAATATTTGGTTAGAGTGACACTTAAGGTTCCTATTCTGTCTTCTGCACATTATTTGCTCAACGTGGGATGTAAAAAGTTGCCACACAATTATAAGCCTATTCAATTAGAACAGTCTTAATTGTGAATTAAACAGGACTAAACTTAATTTTCCAAAACTAAAAAGAAATAAGCTAAAGAATTAATTTTGACTTCATTTAAAAAATGAATTAAACTAAAACTTTATACATTTTATTATACAAATACATTAAACTGCATAAAATTAAACTGACTAAAATGTGACTATAACTAATTCTGCCTTAGTCGACTAATAGTAAGTGTAATTATAGTCAAAAATTTAATCAACCACACTGAATTAGAAGTACTGTAGGTGATTAAAAAGTGACTATGACTAATATACATTTTAGTTGATTTCAATAACATTATGACTACATCAAAACAATTGATGACTTAATCAACGCCATGCTTTATTCAGTATTTCATTCAGGGTGATACTGGATTGCTTGCTTTAATATATAAAAAAATTTAGTGCATGTATAGCATAAAAGTAATCCAGGCTGATTTGATCCACAAAATCTCAGGCACATGCATATATATCAAAAATCGAATTATAGCTGCATCATGAAACTCCAGTCAGAAGTTATAGTACCCATACCTGAACATCTACTGATATTCCCTTTGATGGCTTTTGGATGAGTTGGGTCCTCCACTTCACACTGGAAAACATCTCCCCGGTCCCACTCGCTCCTGGGTACCTCCAGCTCACTAGTTATGATGAAGCGACCGTCCGATCCCATCGCTCTTCTTTCGGTTGTGCTCCTCTTCGGTTGATTTTGACTACTCCACTTGATTGTCGGGCTGAACCCGGACACAGAACAGACCAGATTCTGGGGGCTGTTCTCAGACTTGCTTTCACTTGGGGATAGCAGGATTTTGACTGTGGGCGTACCTATAAGAGCTTTAAAAGGTAAGAATATTGTTTCAATCTTATCACATGGGATGGCAATTGAAATTGTGCGCATGCTGATAGTAGGATTCAGATAATTTGACCCCAAATTAACTTTATTCAGTCGCTGTGCTATTTGTAACATTTTATTTTTGCAATCAAAATTGGATGCTGAATCGCAAGGTCTGGAGAACTGAAATTAAGTTCTGCAATTCAGTAGGCAGGATTATTGTTTTTAGAATGGCAGAGCTGTGCACTGTTTTCATTCCAACTGTTTTCTTAACCAAAATGAACTTTCACATGCTGCTTTAATGCCCTAAGAGTTTTTAACAGTTCATGTTTTCACAAACAATGAATCACAGGGAAGGTTTAAAACGTTTGTCACATTACATTTTTAGGCATTCTGTGTCACTAATTCCATTATTGTTAATGTTGAACAGATGCTTTCCTTTGTCGATTCTATTGGAAGAACTTGAAGAAGAAACACTGATGTTCAGATATTCTTTGTTCTCACATCAAGATTTTCTTATTCAAAGACGTGTGGGAAGGATATCATTTAATCTATAAAACATCCCACCTAATATTTTCAGTTGTATGCTGAAAATACTTTCACATTTAAAAAAAAACTTTTAAGGAAACTCGTTTATATATTTTATAAGTGTATCCGTTTTACTAATTAAACTTGGTAATTGAATTTACTTACTGTTTAAGAATTGTTGGAGGAATTTTCGAAGGATAACATGACTTCAGTCACTAGGTTAACTGTATTGACTGTCGAGAGGGAAAAGTGTCACTGCTGTTGATCAAGTTCAGATCTGCAAGTACACACTTTCACCTTGGATGAAAGGAAACCCATCAGACAAAACAAAATGGGAACATTCTCTTACCAGTGAGATTTGCATCACTTTCAGGAAATTGCTGGGCTCCATTGCCTTGGTTAACTACACACTTGTAAGATTTCAGATGGGACCACTGATTTTCATGGATGTAGATTCTGCTGACCATCGAGAAACGTGTCTTTCCATTCTCGCTGATAACGGGCTCGTTCATATACTGGCTCTCGGGCACATCCACGTTTTTTACTTGCCACTTCACGTAGATGTCACTGGGAGAGAAGCCAGTCAGCAAGCATTCCAGTTCTGCTCTGTCTGAACCCGGGTTGTCTCGTGGTGACCTTCTCACCACCACTGTGGGTTGTTTGGGATCTAGAAGGCAGATACACATTGTTTAATGAGCACTGCTTGTTTGTTCTTGTTCATTTAAGAGCTGATTTCTAGTTCTAAAACACCACCCCAGCAGAGGTTCATTTCTACCAGGGCGGAGCGGTGGCTCTGTGGCTAAGGATCTGTACCTGTGGCTGGAAGGCAGCCTGCAGAGGTATCCTACTCTTTTGGGCCCCTGAGCAAGGCTTTTAAATTGTACATGGCCAATAAAGTGATCTTATCTTACTAAAGCCTGAAAGGCAACAGTTCTTGCAGGCATCCCATTAAGGTAGACCTTAGCAGAAAAGTAAAAAAAATGTTTAAGCCCATAGAGTCTCTTTCTAAATACCTCACAGACATTTTTCTTCTTCCTAATTACTCATGGAATTAATTTCTATTTCTTATATCCCTTTTATTAACTCAAATGCTGATATGAACTCCTTAGAGTATTTTCATGAGTTACAATCCTTCTATCTGAAGACAGAACACAGTTAAAAATGCCTGTTTCTGTTTTGCCAGATTCATAATTGCCATGATGTTACTGATAGTTTGATAGTGAATTAAAGAATAGTACAACTTTGCAGGAGAAGAAAAAGTGAATAGTACAACTCTACCTGTTCTTTTGGTTTCTGCTGTCTGTGGTTTGTCTATACAAGGGTGCTTCACTTCACAAGAGACAAGCTTGAGTTTGTTCCACGTGTATTCTGTCAACTCCATAATGCTCCTCATAGTCTCTGTCCCATTGGGGTTCTTTAGTGTAATTTCTGTCCTTATCTTGTCAGTCTGTTTTTTCCGATCTATCTTCCAGGTAATGGAAAATGCCTTCAGGTTGTAGCCAGTCACTAGACATGTCGCATTGAGTGGTCTCTGCTCAGAAATGTCTTGGATTGAGGGTCCAATGAGGAACACCGCTGCATTCTTTGGGGAACTCTGAAGCACTGGAAGAGAAAAGAGCAAAGCCCAAATCAAGTTTACATTTATGTCAGCTTTCATGATGGAACACTCCAGAGTTCTTTACAGAATGAAAAGTAAAATCAAGCTCGTAATTGGCACTAAATCCCATTACAGTTACTTTTGTGGAACATTTTCCCAAGGGGAAGTTATAAAGAATTTATAGAAATACAATATGACCGATTCTCCTCTTGCCTGGACTTGGAGTTCAGTAACAATGAAGCGGACACTAGGAACTGCCACAGCAGTAGCAAATTTGACTTTGTGTAAATTGTTCCTTTGTTAGCAGAAAATCAAAATTTTGATTACAGTGTTACAGAGCTTTTTATGGTTTTGAGCGTTGCCCGTCTCCAGATCAAAGTTGAATAAATCTCCATAATTTAAGGTTTTTTTTAATCCAACCAAATTTGTATGGTTTTATCTGTGAAAACAATATCCCTTTGAAATTCCTATTATAGGTGTTTAGCTATATGTTAACCAATAATAGTACAAAGAAACACAACGTTTTTCCAGTACTGCTTGACATATATCTTGCTGTGACATCATCAACCTAAAAGAGGCAAGGTTTAACTTCTTGCTTCACTTCAACTTGGGTTGAAAATCCATAGGAGCTTCTTCGAAGGACCGAAGAGTTAATGATCTGTGGCCAGGCCAAGGATCAATGGTGTGTGTGTGTGTTTGGTACCACACTTTCTAGTTACAATGCTGACAACATTTGGTTGATGGTTGGCAGAGATTTCCCTGTTTTGAACTATACCAAAGTTACATTTTCACTCTACAACGTGTGGCAGATTTTGAGTAAAAAAAATCTGTCACTACCTATCTAGCATGTGACACTATTTTCTGGTGTTTGAATCGGCTTACACAAAGCCTGACATCTTTAAACTTGGCATTATTAATATCATGTGACATGCTTCTGTAGGTTTGGGGCCCTGGTTTCACTGTTCAGATCTACTGGGGAAAATCATTTTTTACTGCAAGAGCTCTTGTTACCTTATTTAGTTGAATCACCTCGTGTAGATTCACAGGGTGAAAAATGACTAGAAGAATTTTCGCCCAGGCAAGGACCCCAGAATGTAAAGGCTCAAGCAGATGCCTTATTAAAGGCGAAGAAATGGAAGCTCTTTTTTCATTTTCAGTGTATATGTTGATTTGAGAAAAAATGTTGGAAGTATGGAATGATTTAAATATGTTTTATGAAACTCCTTCTAAAAATATGTGCCTGTAACTGAACATTTACTGATATTAGAAATATCAGACAAATATTAGAAATTGCCAAATCAGGAAGCTCCTCTCAGACGTGATGCTGCGCCTACCTGAACATCTACTGATGTTATGTTTGATGCCATTTGGAAGAAATGGGTCCTCCACTTCACACTGGAAGACATCTCCTCTGTCCCACTCGCCCCTGGGTACCTCCAGTTCACTAGTTACGATGAAGCGACCATCTGATCCCATTGCTCTTCTTTCAGTTTTGCTCTTCCTCGGTTGATCTTGACTACTCCACTTGATTGTTGGGCTGAACCCGGATACAGAACAGACCAGATTCTGGGGGGTGTTCTCAGATTTGCTTTCAGTTGGAGATAGCAGGAGTTTGACAGTGGGTTCACCTGCAAGAGCTTTGAAAAATTAAAAATATTGTTTCGGTTTTATCACATGGGATGACATGGGATGTTTGTACACCAATGTACAGAAATTCTATATTCCTTAGTTGAGTACTTCTCATTCAGCTGAATGACAATTCAGTAAATTATCACCAAATATCATTTGTCAATTATTTTCAGTAACTTCTGTTTTATTGTACTAAGTTATAAGATGTCCTCTTATCTATGGTGCAGTGGACTCAAACTCTAATCATCAAAAGGGAAAGTTGTCGCTCCTGTTGAACATGGGTGGATGTGCTAGCACACAAGCATGATAAGAAAACCCATCAAACAGAAAACTGAAGGGAACATTCTCCTACCAGTGAGAACTGTATATTTTTCCGGAAACGTCTTGGCTCCATTTCCTTGGTTAAATACACACTTGTAGGATTTCAGATTTGGCCATTTATTTCTCTGGATGAATATTCTGCTGACCATTGAGAAATTGGTCTTTCCTCCATTACTTGTAACTGGCTCGTTCATGTACTGGTCATTGGGCACATCTCTGTTATCTGCTTGCCACTTCACATAGATGTCTCTTGGAAAGAAACCAGTGAGGAGACACTCCAGCTCTGCTCCGTCTGTTCTCAGGTAATCTCTGGGTGACCTTCTCACCACCACTGTGGGTGGCCTGGGAACTGGAAGTGAAGATTTGTAATGATAAATGTTTGTTAGTTATGGTTTAATTTGTTACAGTTTGTTTAAGTCTTAGTGTTCATGTTAACAAAGAGTTTGCTAAAATGCCACCTCACCTCTTTACGTAAAACGCAACGTTTTGACAGACATCCTCTTATTATCTTAACAAAAACTTAAAGAAATGTTTTTCTAGAGCCTTTTCAGGATTCTGAGGTCTCCAGTTTTTTTTTTTTATATATAGTGTGGACATTAACTTTAATTCATCTGCAGCTCTTACAGAGTCCCATAAGGTATTTTCAATTCTTTGCAGGAGAAAAAAAGTGAATAGAACAACTCTACCTGTTCTTTTGATTTCTGCTGTCTGTGGTTTGTCTATACAAGGGTGCTTCACTTCACAAGAGACAAGCTTGAGTTTGTTCCACATGTCTTCTGTCAACTCCATAATGCTCCTCATCGTCTCTGTCCCATTGAGGTTCGTTAGATGCTTTTCTGTCTTTATCTTGGCAGTCTGCTTTTTCCCATCTATCTTCCAGGTAATGGAAAATGCCTTCAGGTTGTAGCCAGTCACTAGACACGTTGCATTGAGTGGTCTCTGCTCAGAAATGTCTTGGACTGAGGGTCCAATGAGGAACACCGCTGCATTCTTAGGGGAACTCTGGAACACTGGAAGAGAGTACAGTAAAAGCCAAGTTGACATTTCTGTCTCGTCTTTCAGGATGGAGTGCTCCACTGGGTTTTTCATTTTTAAAATCAAACTCATGGTCGGCATTCGATTACATTTGACAAACAGATGTTGAAAGAAATATTCAAAATCATTTATAGAAATATAACGTCATTGTCTTGTTTGTCTAGATTTTGAGTTCAGTGGCAGGCCGATATTAGAAATTGCCAAAGCTGTATTGAATCTTATTTTTTTTGTTAATGATTACAGTGTAAATTAAAAACTCTATCAGGAAGCTCCTCTCAGACGTGATGCTGCCCCCACCTGAACAGCTACTGATGTTATTTTTGATGCCATTTGGAAGAAATGGGTCCTCCACTTCACACTGGTAAACATCTCCTCGGTCCCACTCGCTCCTGGGTATCTCCAGCTCACTAATTACACTGAAGCGACCGTCGGATCCCATTGCTCTTCTCTCAGTTGTGCTCGTCTTCGGTTGATATGGACCATACCACCTGATTGTTGGACTGAACCCGGATGCCGAGCAGACCAGATGCTGGGGGCTGTTCTCAGATTGGTTTTTACTTGGGGATAGCAGGAGTTCGACTGTGGGTACATCTGTAAGACCTTTACAAAGGTTAACATATTGTTTCAAGTTAATCACATGGAAAAGCCTTCAAAAATGTGCACTTGAGAATGATAGGATACAGACACTAAATTTGCTAATTTAATAGTAGTGCACCTTGTGTTTTTGCTATAGATCTTAACTACAGTCAGTTGACAGGATGATGCATATTTCAGGCTGGAGGACTGAGACTATGCTACGCCATCTGAAAAGAAGGCATTAAGAATGTCAGAGTGCACAGCTATAATATTCTGAAACTGTGCATTCAAAAATAAAATTGGCCTGGTCCATAAAACACCTTTAATCAAACTGTTTTTACGGCCCTACAATTTTCACCCTTTTATTTTTTTCATATAGCAATTTAGTGCTTAAAAATTTCATTGAGGTTAAGTTCTTAGACTTTTTGACACACACTTCTAAGTTGGTCTTTATTCTTTATACTTGTCCAAATCAGGTTAAATGTTTGTCTGCTGACATATACATAGAAATTGTTTTGTGGGAATTTAAATTACCACCTTGAGGATTTCTTATTCATCCTTCATTGCCTAACATTTTCTTCCAATGCTGGGTTGCGCTGGGAGGAGCCCTTTCCAGTATGGAACAGGCACAAGGTAAAATGTACCCAGGATGGGATGCCAGTCCTTTGCAGAGTAGACTCACAAACATGCACACCCTCAAACCAGGACCAACTTTCCCGGGTGTCAGTTCCCCTACCAGTAAGTCTTTAGATTGTGGAAGGGAACTAGAGCACCTAGAGAAAAACCATGTGATCATGCAGAGAACATCAGATAACACTCCAGGTTGGGAATTAAACCAAGGACTCCAGAGCTGCAAGGCAGCAATGCTAGGAACTGCATGACTGTGCCACATAATTTCTCATTCAGCTAGATGAAAATACAATTTGTCAATTGTTCTAATTGGGCATGTCTTGCAGGTTGACTTCAGTTATACGTTTACCAGCATCTATTATCCCTGAGAAGTCATACTGTGGAAAGGGAAAGGTGTCTCTGGTGTTAAAGTTCCAATGTGCTAAGCACAGACACAATTATGAATGTGAAAGGCAAAATAATCTAAAATCAAGACGAAAGGATCACGCTCTCACCAGGAAGGACTTTGTCATTTTCTGGAAACTTCCTTTCTCCATTGCCTTGGTTAAATACACACTTGTAGGATTTCAGATTTGGCCACTTATTTCTCTGGATGAATATTCTGCTGACCATTGAGAAATTGGTCTTTCCTCCATCACTGGTAACTGGCTCGTTCATGTACTGGTCATTGGGCACATCTCTGTTATCTGCTTGCCACTTTACATAGATGTTGCTTGGAAAGAAACCAATGAGGAGACACTCCAGCTCTGCTCCGTCTGTTCTCAGGTAATCTCGGAGTGACCTTCTCACCTCCACTGTTGGTGGCCTGGGATCTGGAAGTGAAGATTTTTAATGATAAATGTTTGTTCATTATGGTTTATTTTGTTACAGTTTGTTTAAGTCTTAGTGTTCATGTTAACAAAGAGTTTGCTAAAATGCCACCTCACCTCTTTACGTAAAACGCAAAGTTTTGACAGACATCCTCATATTATCTTAACAAAAACTTAAAGAAATGTTTTTCTAGAGCCTTTTCAGGATTCGGAGGTCTTTGTTTTATGTATAGTGTGGACATTACCTTTAATTCATCTGCAGCATTTACAGAGTCCCATAAGGTATTTTCAATTCTTTGCAGGAGAAAAAAAGTGAATAGAACAACTCTACCTGTTCTTTCGGTTTCTGCTATCTGTGGTTTTTCTGCACAAGCGTGCTTCACTTCACAAGAGACAAGCTTGAGTTTGTTCCACGTGTATTCTGTCAACTCCAGAATGCTCCTCATAGTCTCTGTCCCATTGGGGTTTGTTATAGGATTTTCTGTCTTTATCTTGGCAGTCTGCTTTTTCCCATCTATCTTCCAGGTAATGGAAAATGCCTTCAGGTTGTAGCCAGTCACTAGACATGTCGCATTGAGTGGTCTCTGCTCAGAAATGTCTTGGATTGAGGGTCCAATGAGGAACACCGCCGCATTCTTAGGGGAACTCTGAAGCACTGGAAGAGAAAGGAGCAACATTTGTGTGTTTTATTTCAGGATGGAGTGCTTAACAGAGGTTTTCATTTTTAAAATCTTAATCGATCTCATAGTTGGCATTCAGTCTGATTGCTTTTGTCAAACAGATTGTGAAAGTTTTAAATTCAGAAATTATTTAAGAGTACAGTGTATTGCCTTGTTTTCTGGAATGTAAAAGTCAATTGGCATTGAGGAACCTCCACAGAGGCAGTGAATAGACATCTTTGAATAGTTCACTCGTACATATAGTAATAATAATAATAATAATAATAATAATAAACTTTATTTTATATAGCGCCTTTAAAGGTGGCTTCTCAAAGCGCTTTACAGGATGACAATAACAATAAATAAGAAGACTACAACAATAAATAAGAAAATTTCACAGGACAGGACACAATTATAATTACAACAATACAACAATAACAATAGAGGAGACCGTGGAAGATGGTATTAAGAAGAGCAGAGGGGTGAAGAATGGAAGCAGTTAAGTAAAGGCTTTTCTGAAAAGGAGGGTTTTAGAACTAGTATTAGAACTATTATTAAATGTGTTTGTTCCTTTAGAATATCTGCATGTGTCCATGAGAATGTTGTATATTGAATCAACGTCTGCTGGTATAGTTTTACTATTATGTATACAATTTAAAGTTTCACTGAGTATCAGCAGACCAGTGTGCACAGTGTAAATGGACCAAATATTTTGGTGCTTGGTTTGGCGATCATTGTTATATCTCTTTATTCAGGTTGGGAGCTGCGTCAGGATGCGTAGGCTGCAATGGAAAAAGTAGTAGGTTTATTCCATGCTGAAAAGATAAGAAAGGAAGCACAACATTTGAAGAAGGCTCCACGGCCAAAACATGTTTTCTTTCTTCTCTTTTCAGCATGGAATAAACCTATGACTTATCTCTTTATTATTTTAGTTTAAGCTCCAGGAGAGCTAGGAAAATACACTTTTAGAATTTATTGTACTTCTCTCTTAAGATGTAACATCACGGAGAACCTTGCAAGAGAATCTACTGACATGCAAGTAAGTTGGATTTGCTGCTGTCAGTGACTGGAGGAAGCTACATTTGTGTAAAGGACTTTTCAAATGAATGGTTAAATCATACAAGATACAAGTGGCTACAATCAAGAAGAGACTTTTGGGCCCTTGTAGAATTTTGGGACAAGGATGTCATTTAGTCATTTTTGTTATGGAAGCCAGGGAATCAGCTGAAGGGTATTGGTTTTCTGCCTAATACGGAGCTTATATACAGTTCCTTAATTTGCTGTACAATAATGGAATGAGTCTGTCGCTCACATCATTAACAATTCATGCAGGTATTGCATCACCTCATGCAGGTAATATTTCCTTCTTGGCTGCCTTCATTCACACGGAAATGGGGGTCTTGCATAATAGTTTAATATAAGGAAATCTAGGAGCTAGGAGAACAGGAGCTAAAGAGAGAATTCCTTTAAAATTGCCTTGTAACATCTGAAAAAAACAATAAACTGGACAACATCTCATTTTTGAAAAGGACACTATCCTGATGTAATGATGCTCTGGAGAGGAGATAGGGATCCTATGGAGACGCAGGAGTAGGTGGGAGTCACGGCAACTGACAATCCGAAACAAGGAGCCAGATCGTAGTCAGAGGGAGAAAAGTAGGTCGAAATCCGTTAAAGACACTGGCGGCAAACAATCCGAGGAGCAAGGTGAAATCTGAAGACCGAAGGCGAAAAGGGTAGTCGATAATCCAGGGAAACAAAAGGTATAGTAATCGCTGGGTAGAGCTCACGAGGTGAATACTCAATACCGAGCAGCGGGACGCGGGTGGAGATGGTTTAAATAGTGCTGCTCGCCACACGGTGGAGCATGTGCTGATGGATTAACACGTGCATCGGCGTTTGTTATTATTAACCCGCTGCTGGTACTGGTTAGCTCTTTTGCGAGATGATCTCCTCTGGCTGGTGGTCGTGACGCCTGATTCTGGTCCTCAGGTAACGTGGCACAGAATATTTAGGCCAAATGGAGAACTGCTTCTCCTGGTGGTGTAGTTGTGCTGCTTATATACTCGGGTTGAGGAGAAGCAGGTGGCCATGCATTTCCATTTCCCAATGGGAGCGGCAACCGGTGCGTTGGGGAGTGCAGGTTAAAAGAGAAGCATTGGGGATTAAAATAAATCGTGTGTCCACTCCCCCATTCACACCTGCACCCTCACTAGAGACCAGAGAGAGCAACAGCTTCTTCTATAAAATGCCAGGCCCCAGGTGAGCCATTCCACTGGACAAGAACAAGGAGAACTCACCTTTGCACATGCTGATGTTGTCAGTCCGCTCTATGTTGTTGTGGGTGGCCTTACAGGTGTACACAGAGTTGCTTTCCCAGTCTAGGAGTGTGGCATCTAACTGGCTCATTACAGTGTACGTTTTGCTCTCTGTTGTGACAGTCCCAGATTGCCTTCCTAGTTTTAACTGGGTTCCATTCTCCACCCATGTTATGTTTATCTTTATCGGGAAAAAATCGCTGACTAGGCACGACAAAGTGATGGAGGTGGAATTCCCAAGGTTTTCCAGGGATGGGGGAGTAATCGTCACCTTTGGTGTACTTGGAGCCCTGGCACCTAAGAAAAAAAGACACCATTAAGAGCTACCAGTCCATAAAGAATATAGCATTCTAACAATAGTGAATTTACTATCTCTAAAACAATGGGTTGTGAAAACATACCACAATACCATACACGAAAGATTCTAACCCTGGTCCTGGAAACTCCCACATTAATAAATATATTAACTGTTCTCCTCTTGTCAGAGATTAGTTATAAACTATGAATCATGATAACAAATCAAGTAAGTCTTCTGTTTAGTTAAAAGAACCCTGGATGTTGAGGATTGAAGCATACTTAGAGTTTCCTAAAAGAGCTCAAAATTACTACGAAATAACTAAACTCTAAATTGCTTAAAGTTTAACAGTTTGCATGTTTATGTGACCACTATCAAGTTGTTCTGTGTCAAGAAATTAATTTAATAGTGACCTGTAAAACTTTCTGGATTGGGGTCTGCAGGAACAGTGTTGTAAACCAAATTGATTAGTATTTTTAAATTTTATTTTATAGGTTCCCTGAATGCCATTCATTCCTTTATTCCTACTTTGCAGTCACTGTTGATAAGTTCTGTACCTAACCAGACTTGAAAGAATAGTTTTTTTCAGAGCTAGTGTACAGTATGTACAGTAAATACTTATCACAAGGCTTAGAGTCAGAAATTAGCTAACACAAACATTCAATAATTACCACACTTCAGTTATGTGGACTAAATAATGCATCAAAGTATTACTGAAAACTAAAGTTCACAAAATTGGGTAATCAAGACTAGAAGCTGGACTATTTGAAATAAGTATTTTAAGACTTTCACCTTTCCTCCAAGCACAGCAGCCTCCTGTTATGTTGAATTGGATACCTTAACAAACAATAAGCTTAAAAGACAGATGAAATCAGGGTCCCAATTTGCAAACAATCGGTCATACTACACCTTTTCAGAAATTTTGAGAGTTTGGGTATCAGTACCATTTGATGTAAGTGAAACTAAAATAGGCATGTTCCACTTTGTCCTGGCAGATACATGTTACAGTATACTTCAGTCCAGTGTCTTTTTGACTGCAGTGCTCTCAGTAGTTGCAGTTTAGGTGGACTGCCACTTGATGTCAGCACTGAACTGATTCTGAGGTAATAACCAGGAGTTTCAGTTGACAGTATTTTTCTGTGTGTGGGGGGGAAACTAAACAATCAGATAAAGGTTTTGTAGTCTCCCTGCTGTTGATTAAATCTAAAGAAGATATAATCTCATGATGTGCATTTAAGTCACGTTATTTTCCTCTTTAGACACAAAGTCCAGACAAAATAAACTGCTTTTCCATTAGGTTTGCAGAGTATCCAGCTTAAATGAACATATGTACAGATATATGTATTATTTCTTGTTTTACTTTTCGATGCACTATAATAATAATTGCTTACACTTTACAGGTAATGGGGACTCCCCTCCACCACCACTAATGTACCTGGATGACACAACAGCAACTATAGCGTGCACAGTTCTCTCACCACACATCAGCTGTTTGTGGGGAGACAAGAGTGATAAAGCCACCATTCATACATAAGCATTATTAAACAGCCATGATTGGGAAAGGCCAATGGGAAAGTTGGCCAGGACACCAGGATAACAGGATAACAGCCACTTTTAGAGGGAACACTCTTGGATTTTGAATGACCACAGAGAGTCAGGCCTTCGGTTCTATCTCTCATCTGAAGGACCGCACCTTTTTACAGTATAGTATCCCCATCGCTGTACTGAAGACCAACACAGACCGCAGGGTGACCGCCCCCTACTAGCCCCACTAACACCTCTTCCAGCAGCAACCTTAGTTTTTCTCAGGAGGTCTCCCATCTAGGTACTGACCAGGCTCACACCTGCTGAGCTTCAGTGGTTTGACAGTTATGAGCTACAGGGTGATACAGCTACTGGCTGTAAACGTGTGAGAGAATGAAACTGGAAGTTTCCAGCCTTTCTTTAAGAAAGACTTGTTTACTGTGTCTTTAACATAGTTAAATAACACCTTAGAATGAAGCAGTGCAAAGTCTGAAAACCTAAGGAAGAAAATAAGTGAACTCCACTTCTTGGGTTGGGGCAAAGCAATTCAGCAGAATAGAAATGCAACACACCCAGCAGCTACAGTATATAACTTAATTTGGTGCAATAAAACGTGCTCCGTGAGACAGAGTCTGAGGAACTGTAACTTTGTTTAGGGCAGTGCAGCAATATCCCTTTCAGGGCAGGGAGACCTGCAAGAGTATTTCTCAGGAGGATAGTGAGACAGCTTAAATTACAATAACATACTGAACATCTGGGCATGCCGATATCTATTAAACAGTTGCAGTTTATTGCAAGTTCCTAGTATTTATTTCCCTTTAGATTATAAATCTTAGCCCTTGTTACATGTACTGTATATTGTTGATTCTGTTCTGTTTTTTTTATTCTTTTAAATGTAAGTAATTCGTTTGCAGTCAGTGTTAGCTTGAGCATTGGTAGACCACAGGTAAAATTAACTAGCTCTAAATATCTATAAGATGGCATGGAGTCCATTTTATAGGCCTGCTTTACTTTTGGTCTCTATTAAGTCCTTAAAAATGTCATTTTATACTTAAAGTACGTGGCAAATTAAAAGTTAATATTAGAAATAAGAGTTCATACACAAACGTATAGTTTAGGATTACTGCAAATGGAGTATCGTATACTCTACCACTTTAATATCATTAAGTACGACATAAATTCGTAGGGAAAACAATACTGGTAATAAGTTTTGATTTCTGCAAGAAAGATAAAACTTTTGGTGTGCTGTGCATTTGCCATTTGCATATATATATATATGTAGTGTTTTAAAACACCAATATACACATTTAATCTATTTGCCTATATTCAAACACAGCTAAGGGAAGTGAAACTGTACATTTGGTCCACCCATCACTGCTATATACAGATGGGGAAGAAATAATAATGAAAAAGTAGCTTAAAATGGAAATTGGCCCTGTAGATTAAAATATTAAGAATAAAATACATTGACGAGCAACTTACAGTCCCAGGCAATATTTCAAGCATACTGACTAATATTGCCAAACCATGTTTCTTCTTCTCAAACCCAACTTTCCACCTCCATTCTATCAAGCCCACATGTTAATCCAATTTTTGAAGTATGATTCCATATATTAGATTTAATTTTAGTTGAAGTTTAAATCAGCTAAGATTCCATCACAGCTGCCTTGAGTGACTAAAACAAACCCGATAAAAACTGATCTTGGAGAGTCTGAATTTTCATTTTAGGGTTTGACCAATTTATTCAATATGACCCTTTCTGTTTCTTCAAGTACCAATATATATCATACTAAAAAAATGCCACGTCCATTTAAAATACTTAGTAACAGATTATGCCTTATTACAGTTTTTTTAGCTTTTCTATTTTGCATTAATTGTGTGCAATAGGTTTCTAAATTTGCCTGAATTAGTAACATGTGCGTGTTTGACCAAAACTTTGATCTTCTCTCCAAACAGTACACAGTCCTAGTTAAATGTTTCCAAAGATAGATTACAATATGTGTTAATTAATATCCAACATTAAATGGGACCTTTGAATTAGGAAATGGTCTTTCACATTGACCTGCTCTGCATCGGTACATTTAAAAATGTGGGTGGATTTTGCCCAATGATAAATAGAACTTGTTGTGCCAAATAATTAATCACTCCCTGTGTTAATTACAATGTATTACTTAAAATTGAGGTTAAGAAGAAATTGTCTGTGACTCTTTTCCTTTTTCCCTGCAACATGTAATGATTTTACATTTCTGTGCCTAGCAAATAATCTCCAACTACAGAATTTACTCATAGATCTCCCAAAGTCTGCAAACTTTAGATTCGGTTCATATGATGACATTAAATTGAATCCAGACTTCAAAAAAATAAAATAACGTTGAATCTCTCTCTGTTACTAACAATGGAAATCGAGCTCATTTGCAAGTGACTGTTTTCGAGCTGCTCGGAGGGGCCGCCCCGATCTTATTCCGGCAGCCGTGCGGGCAGTGAAGAGTGACAGGAGAGGAACCGGATCAAACGATAGCTCACGGGCTTCAACGGGCAGGCGGCGCAGCGGCCGGAAGTGTGAGATAACACCCGGTTTCAGGTCTCGGTAATGTGCTGGTCTGGTAACGGAGTGAAACTCCTCTGGCACCGCACCTGGCGTCCCCTTGGAGCCCAACCAAGGGAACTGCCAGCTGGATCTCCTCATGCACGTCGAGTATTTGAATATTTCATAAGAGTTCCCCTGCTGGCATTTCCTTTGTGTTGCACTGTTAATGATTAATAACATTTCATTGTCTCCTTCACTACTACGGCTTATTAAGTAATTAACTATAATTTAGCGTGTGTCATAAGTTAGAGAATATTTTATTCTTAGTTTTAACAAAACCCAATTTGACAGTCCTGAGATAGAATAGAACCCCTCTGGATTTGAGATTGTTAGCAGTATGTGACATCTAGACGAGTGAATGTTTTATAGGCTGTTTAAATCAAATCAACGGACCCTTTAATTTTCAGTTTGATTGAACTTTGGACATGAGAGAATGGCATCCTTTGTAGTCTCGTGAAGCATAAAAGTATATCAGTGAAACAACAATAATAGTAATTTTATATACTGTATATTCTATGTTGTTCTGACATTTAGACAAATTTAGACCTGCATCTTGACAATTAGACCTGCATTTGACAGATTATTGGTTGTCTAGCTCTGTACACACTATTAAAATAATCCAGTCAGTGAATGCTGTTTATGATAACTTCATAAAATGCAACTCTTTAAATATAACCTATTACAGTTACAATGTTATTTCCTCACACACTTTCATGCACCTGTATGTTAAGAATGTAGTACATTTTCTTCAGTCCTCTTGACTATAGAGTCACTAAGCCATGAATCCCCATTCTGGTCTGGTATTTATTTTCACTTTATGTCGTATTATACTGCACCTAAATGAATTTAAATGTAATTTACTGTGTGTTGCTTTTATCTTCATGCTCGATGTACTGCACATATGCAACATTCTATGCTATCTTGTGTACAGCATCTTGCATCTCCCACTGACTTGCTTCTTGCTGTCGTGCACAATTACTCACACACAGTCTCTGTTTAGTGATCTTGCTCAGTTATATTACATTCATTCTTATATACACAAAACATGAATGTACACTACTGTAGACTTGCGTTATCATGTCCTTGTCCCTTTTACTGTTGAAATACATTGATTCACAAGGAGAAATTGCTCCTGAGAGCTTTTTCCCCCCTCTCTGTGGATGTTATTATTATTGAGGTTCAAAAACTAAAACAAACATCAGCCCAATGAAATTGTCTGCTTTTTTAAAGGGAAATTTAAAGAACTTTGAGACCAAATCAAAGAACATCTGTTTTTACTCTGTAATCAAATGTTACTAAAACCTTGTATTTCATTGCACACTTAGCACTCAGGGCCATGAGATCACAACTAGGGTCCCAGTCCAGGATGAGACCCTACAGCCCAGAGATCAGAGGCAGGGTCCCAGTCCAGGATGAGACCCTACAGCCCAGAGATCAGAGGCAGGGTCCCAGTCCAGGATGAGACCCTACGGCCCAGAGAGCCTGTCTCGTAACTTTTTCCAGGGAATATTTACATATTTCTGGACTCCATTAGCCCTGATTTCCATTTTTTCGTATGGGAAATAATTCCCTGCTAACATTGCTTTGCTTAACATCCGTGCTTTACAGTATCTGTCAGGGACATGAAATGGGGGCTCGCTGTAAAGTATTTTTTCCCTTAAATATAGTTTTTCAGATTCTGAATGTTGTCTTGATAGAGAGAGAAGAGTGAGTTTTGAACTGAGGATTTAAAAGTGGCTAATTTCCCTTACATGCTCCCAACATGATCTACAGTCATGTATTCAACTGATTGGACTGGTTTCTTAATGTGTCTGATGGCGAGGAACAGGATCGGCATTTTTGTATTGATGGCTAAATCATATTCTGCTGTAGTAAACCAAAGTTCTAGTACAGGTACTCCTCTACGATAAACTGGAATTACACAGAAACTCATTCCCATTTTTTACGGACCCGTACAAGAATGTAAGAATTGTAATTATCTGGGGAATCAAAGTTATGGGTGTAACCAACAACAACAATCTTTTATTTTGTAAAGAACAATCAAGATTTGATGTTATTTTTAACAAATGCTTTGTTCTTATAAAGATAAGTGACATTTGCTGTGATAGGAGGATCCGTTGATAAAGTATTCGTGATTGACAAATATCTGACAATAAGATGTCTGCTAAAACTTATGTAATTAAACTCTTACTACCAGGTTATTTATTCTGTATTAATATTCTTTCGATCTATTAAGATTACAAGGGGTTTATATGTGAATTTTAGGACCCTACAGTACATTTCCTTTTAGCTTGATCACATCGTTCCTCTATTGTTGCACTTTATGATTCATTAGAGTTTACTGCGACACCGTGACTCTTCAGTGTTCAAAGTACTGTATGATTGTTGCCTTCAATAATAAATAATAAAGAGCCTCTTAAGTAATTAAGCTCTAACAATAAAAGGAACAAACAAGTTCTGTGCACATCTTGGCCAATGCTGGAAAACTTCTCAGCACTATTTTGGCAAGCAAACCCATCGACGAGACCCTGCCCTTATTTCCTCTCATGTTTGCATTTTTTGACTCAAAACGCTCAATCAGAGCCTTGCAGAAACCTGGCATGCAAAGCTATTTTGACGACGAGCTTTGGGGAGAGGAGCTGAAAGAAAAGCAAGTTTAGGCTTTTACATCATACAGTCGACACAAATCGGTATGGCATACGCATGACTTGATAACGTTTTTCAGCACTCGAAGGCCTGGAATACACGTTTCCCTGAAGACACGAGCCGTACTTATGTCTAGAGACCAAGATGAAGAAGATCCCGTTATTGAAGAAAATACCGTTGTTTCACAGCGGTATTTTCCTGCGGTTAACAGTAAAGTTCACACTATTTGCTGTGCGTAAGTTTTCACTGTGTGCTCACAACGTTTGGCTTTTAGGCCTTTAGGACAGGAGATTAAATGAATCATTTTGGTGGTGGAATTTACTCCCTTCATTCCTGGAGACCTCTACTATAGTATATATAGAACACTAGATTCATGTTAAAAGCACATTTTAGAGACCCAAGAATCAGGCTTGATCACCGATAAATCACTCATATTTTGTAAAAATCCAAGACCATCAGATCCTATGTTATTTTAACAATTACGTGTCTGTGTGGTGGAGTGGATTAATGGGAGGAAATTGAAATTACACTTACAGCATCAACAACAACACCAAAGCAAAGCATGAAATCGGGACACTGTGTTCTTTGGTTCTCATTTTTATTTCAATTTTAACAAAACAGCCACATATTTACAAGTTTAGGTGATTTTAACAACACAGAGTAGAGCTCATAAGAGCAGGGTGATTAGTACACACTTCACCTCTACAAGCAGAGGAACAGCAACATGTACAGAAGAACAATCGATGCAAAAAATGCATGAAAACAGGAGAAGAGGCTACAAGTGAAAAGACAGCACACTTGATTGCTAATAGAAAATCCAAACTCATACAAATGAGTTTGCTGCAGGTTTATTTAAGCTTTCTAGCTCATCTTCAGCCCTTCCAGAATATCACTTCACCTGAAAATTAGAAAAAATAAATCAGGCTGAAGCTCTTATCAATCAAGTAGTGATCAATCTATTTCTCTATCTCAGTAGCAGCAGATTTGTAAGTAATGAAGATTGAAAATTATAGCAGATGATCATTTTTAGAAACAATTTTCATGTTATGCTACGACAACTATATCCTACAACCCCCTCTGCTTTATCAGGCAGCAGTAATTACGTGGGATTGCAATTATTTTTGTGCTGGAACTATCTTCTTTCATTCCTGGAGATTACTAACAGAAGCCTTGTCCTTTTCAGATAATTTTTTTCTATTCTAAATCTTAATGTCACACATAATCTCATATATGTTAGACACTAAGAAGTAAGAATGTATAATATTAACCAATGCATTACATACATTACCAATAGATTCAACCAAAAGGCATGACATGATGGCTTTTGACAGTGTCCCATTTTTAATATTTAGTGTTTGTCTTTAATGTGCAGGGACAGTCTGTGTTGGGTTCTACATTACTCTGTCTAACTTTCTATAATCTGAAATTAGAATCACTGAAAATTAGTTAACTGACATGACCAGACATAATTTGAAAAAGCTGTGTTTAAACTAAAGACAAGCACTGTAAAGAGTTCCAGGGAAATTATACTGACTTAACCAACTATTTAATGTAATTAAATGTTTACACCCGAAGAAGGCTCCACAGCTGAAATGTTGTTTTTTCTTTCTTCTCTTTTCAGCATGAAATAAACTTGTTCCTATTTAATGTAATGATTAATAAGCTATTTCCTTTGTTCAGAGTCCTTCCAGGACAGGAGAGCTCTTTTTGGTAAGATAATGACATTAATGACACTGTGAATTGCTGCCCACTGAAAACATTTAATCTGTACTGATTAAACTTACCTTCGTGATGGTGGCCACAATGCTGTAGAACAAGGTGATGAGGAAGAGGGACAGGAAAGCTGACACCGTTTTCCACAGATGGTCACTTTCCTCCACTTCGCCGTCGTAATCAATATAAGTCTGCATATTGTAGAAGTCTGCATTAAAGAACAAAACATTTGATTACAGGAAAAAATAAACCCCCACACGTGGTCTCTGTCTATCTCATCTATCTATGTTAGTGCCCTTTTTCATTTTATTAATAAGGTGTAACGGTGCTGTTATGTTGTTACTGTACATATTTAGAAATCACAGCCTGATTAACGATTGTGAAAGCACAGGTAGATTTTCAAATTTTGGGGTTTTGTCTCCCCATGTGTCATGTTAGATGCAACAACATTGCAGATTTCTGTCAAGCTGTGGAAGTACATTGCATACTACCTTGTCAACTGCCAGTTTGTTGAGACACCACTGTTATTGACAATCAGCACATTTCCTTCATCTTCTCAAGTTTAGCCTACAGCCCATCCCTCTCATGAACTGGGAGCCCTGGATGTTGCTGAGCTGTTCTCTGACCTGTCTGTGGTGCTGCGAGCTGCTTTCAGCCAGCTTCACTATGGTACAATCCCATCTATAACTCATTATACACTTTATAGGAGATCACTGTGTTGACTGACCCTCTGTCCCATCCCTGTTGTCTCTTCCTAAAACAACTGAAAACTGTAGGAAGCCCAATGCAGCACTTCTGGAGCTAAAACCAGACTTAACCCCATTGGCTTCCTTGAAATTTATGGTTACAGGAAACACAATATCTGAGGTTATCCAACGCCTGAAGCAAGTATGATACTAGAAATATAAATTTCCCTCCTGGCTAGTAAATAATATCCTTTGTCCTGTTATCTCAAGTAAACATCTTAGTTCATTTTTAGGTGAGCAATTAAGAACTAAAGTAAAAAAAAAGGTGTCTTAATACTAATGTTGGTGAAGTTACCCAAACCTCATTCATCAAAACCTCCTACCAGAAGGACTGTACATCTCTTGACTTGCTGTTATTGAAGCAGTTTAATAAGGAAGATTATGACTGGAATAAAAACAAACATTTACGGCAGCTCTATAGCTAAACGCAGAGGGGATTCCTGTCAGCTACTTAGGACATATGAGAGTTCTACCATGCATTGTGAGATGAAACTGTTCTCTATGTACAGTATATACCCACAGACCAACATATTGTCAGTGTCTCTTTGAGCACTAGTAGTGTGCCTGTAGCTGAACGTGACCAGCCCTGATGTAAATGTATGGGAACAGCACGCGTGATTTAATTTCCTCCTGCTCTGTTAAGGATTGCTATGTGTCTGCTCCCTGTCAATCCGAGATCCGAACGTATTTTCTGACGCATCACTGCCTTTTAACTCGTTCCCTGTTGAACCATGCTAACGTTATTTTAAGGGGGGTTCTGATCAAAGTTGCCACGAGGGTTTGCTGTAGGGTTTAGCTATCTCTTCAAGTGTAGTTTCAAAGCGAAACAGGGGAATAATCCATAAATCTGGCCTTCAGTTGTTACGGAATTGAATTTTAATGTATGATGCTACATCTTGCTCCCTTATGGTTTTAACTGGTTTTGTCACAGACTGCAATATTTTCTTTGGAAGACCCTATGTTTTGGCAGTATCAAAACATTTGGAACAGTCTGACAATTTAAATACTGTGGACACAACATGAGGTTGACATGTAAGACATTTTACATTGCTGTCCACACTGGATTCTTTCTAAATATTTAATGTCTAAAGACAGGGAGGACTTTGAAACCCTTTGGTGTCAGTTTAGCTTGTGTTTTGCCTCTCAATTCTTACACAAACTTAGGCGTGCTTTTTCAAAACTTCCATGAGTCTCTATTAAAACTTGTGCACTCTTCTTCAAATCTATTTTATGCTTTAATTGTTTTTCATTCTATAATTATTCTCTACTTATTTTTGGCTTGGATTACATTTCACAGGGATGGGAATGTGAAGGATTTCCTTCACCTCCCTTGACCATGTATCGACTGATGAATCCAGTTTGAGAACAGGGCTGATGCACTGCAGACGAATCTATTGTTTGATGATCTGGTGTTACTGGGTGTTTCTGGGGGAGGTCAAGGAGATCAAATGTTTAATTTTATCACAGCCTCCATTGTACTCTCCTTTACAGGAGAGGCTGGCTGCTCCACATATATTAATGCCATTAATTAATTTAATGGATATGTTTTCTGTGCTTCATTAGTCTTCCTTTAGCATTAAGATCAGGGGATCTGAAATCTGTTTTCAGTCTGTATGAGGTGCGCCTTTGTTAATTTCTGAGATCTTTGCACACGTTAATGGTTGCGTGTATATCTGAATGACTTTGGAATCTTAGTAGTTGTAATCTGTTCTTATCTGCGGAGTTGTGGGTTGATTACATTCGTTTGTGTATTTTTAGAACCTACAATTTAATGTTTCCAAATGGTATAAATCGTAACATATTTGAGCCTCCAATAAAAGGTTTCTGCTAGAAGAAATAGAATGATTTCTTCTTTCTTGCTTTTTTTTACCATTTTGCTTCTATATAATAAGGAGTGGTAAACAAATCTTTTCAGGTAATAGTGATTATATCTGTTATTCCCTTGGTCCACTTTTAATATAATTGTCTCACGGTCACACAGTGTTGGCGATGTTCTGGGTGTTATTTTGTTTAGTAACCTGTGCTTAGTGGGAATATCTCGGAGAAAAGTTTTACACTGAAGTGGTGTGATAACTCTGCCCACACTGGACAGAAGACATACAAAGTTGTTAACTACAGTATTATGAACAAACACACAAAGAACAAAACTCAATATTTAACTGCAATCCTGTCATTTTTGATCATTTTGGCCGTATTAATCATAAAACTATATGAAAATAAATGGATGAGGCAACCCTTACCCCCTTAAGCTCTTTTGGTTTTTAGAGTGAATTCAGCCCTGCATAAGAGACCTTAATGAGCCAGGTGCTGATCGATTTGTGGGATTAACACTATTTGACTATAAGAGTAGAAATACTAATCCCGTTGCATTTACTAGTAACAAATAATAGTGTTTGGAATTACATAAGAAGAGTTTACAACTGAAGTCGTTCTTATTTTTTATTTTGTTTTGTTTTTGCTTTTTAAGTTTGAAACACAGCTGTTAAAGAGACAGACAGAAGACAACGTGACATTCTGTTACAATACAGAGGCACAACAGCAGACAGTACATGACACTGGGTACACTGGGACGGGGGACGTGTTACGCTTGCGCTGGGCAGGTGTCGGGAAGGTTGAGGGTGAGATTGACCAGAGTTGCTTTACCAGTAGAACTGTCTGTGGTTCTGGTAATGACGGAGACCGGGAGGGGGGCGGTTTCGTGGTGGACGGCGCACGAGTACATCGTGCCGCTGTTCCAGTCGCTGGACGATATGGTGTATTTGCTGTAGACGGAATAGGTCCCGTCGTGCGAGGGGATCAAATCGGTGACGGTGTAATGGGTCTTGTCAACTACGCTATCCTGAGCAAGCCAAGAGATGTAGATGTCCTTCGGGGAGAAGTCTTTGACGAAGCAGGTCAGGGTCACCTCATCCCTAGTGCTGGAGCTTTCTTCGGTTGATGGAGCGAGAAGGAAGACGGACGGGCGGATTTTCGTAGCTGGAATTATAAGAGTATTTTAGCTTAAAATGAACCTGGAGCTCTGACTTCCAGACACAAGCACTGTTGACAAATATCTATAACAAGGTTGGTTTTCAGTCCGGTTCAGTCATAATCCTGTCCATTCCTGACATACTGTAGGAATTCTATTGCACTTTGGGTAGAAGTAGAGTAGTGAGCACATATTGAACCAGCTATTAAACACACTGTCTGAGGTTTCTAGGTGTCAGCCTGTTTATATATTAAAAGTTGGTGTAAAGGGTTGTATAAAATTAATCATATGCTTTTAGTTTTTGTAGTTTTGCGACTCTAAAGAAGTACAGTATGTGTAGTTATAGACCTACTGTATGTATGGGCTTAATTCAACAGAAGACTAAAATGCAAGTAACGTTTTATGACTTAGCAAGTAAGTTATTTAAATAAACACATAATTAAGCAAATAGTGTTAAAAGTTATCAATGTTTACATGTGTGCCTGTGTGAACATAAGATTTATAAAACTAATTTTCAGCTTTAACACTCATTCAGTTTGTGTTTGATAGGTTCACATTGTCGAAAAAACAACTACTGTTAAGACTACAGTTTGCTGAATTCGTTTGTTTTTTTTTACAAAAGGCTATTTTACCAAACCAATACATATCAATTTGTGAATCTGCCGAATAAGAGACTTCAAGCAGATTTGATTTAGCCCAGCTGGGTTTTGTAACTACTTACCGATCTGTCTTTTGTAGGTTTTTGTTATCGGGGTGGGAAAAGAATCAAGGTGTGATACAATGCATTTGTACTCTGTGCCCGTGCGCCATTTCTCCAGGACCACGGACACTCTAGACACAGCCACAATTTTCCCTCCTTCATGTCCAAATTCAGGGGCCCCAGCAGCCAGCGGTTTGCCCCCTGAGCTCCATGTCATCGAAACATCACTGGTAGATACCAGGCCGATGGCTCTGCAAGTGAGGGTGGCGGTATTTTTCACGAACTGCTCCTCATTTGTTGGGGGCTCAATGACGACCTTGACTGTTTCCTGGCACTCTGTGGGGAAAAAGAGAAAAACAACAAAAAACAAAACAAAAACATCTCTCTGCAATTCTGTGCCTCTCAAATTCACAAGTCAATATCCATATTGAAATATTGAAACGTGCAACATGTATGCAGTGCTACACATATTTTTCAGGTAATGTTTTTTAGATCATTTTATGAGGTGCTGCATAAGAGCCAGTTTGTATTAAATCTATGTGAAGACAAAAGTGTGCTACACATACATAATACTATCTGAGCTGTATTTGTAAAAAAATAAGTTGTCCGAGAATTCAAGACTTACCAGGTGAAGTGTAGGTAATGTTCTTCAGTACACTTCCTGTCTTGTGGACAAATTCACACGCAAATTCAGCAGAACTTTTCCAGTCCTTCTCAGTCACAGTTAAGAGGCTGCTCGCACTGTACAGTTTCTTCTCGTCCTCAGTGGCAGGGATATTGGTGACCCCTTCGTCCAATTTGGTATTGCCCCTCCACCATTTGAACTCGTGCGTTTTAGGAGAGAAGCCACTGGCCACACAGACCAGAGTGGCGGTATGGTTTTGTGCTAACTCCTCGAGTGATGGCGGGTTTAGCAACACACTTGCAGGGGGGACAGGTGGTGTCCCTGCAAATCAAACATATGCATGTATATGTACACACACACTAAAAAAGTAAGCAACACACACAGTTACTGCACACGGAATAAAACTTGCACGTTTTCCAACACATCAATCTGGGACAGGAATCATTCATTCAAGAGGAAAAGCACAAGTCCACCCTCGTGGTGCCCACACCTTCCTGTGACTGCTTGACTGCAATCATCAGGAGAAGCAGAACCAACTGCCTTGACTATAGCCACTGGGACAAGCAAGACTAATATGGACGAAGAAGCAAAAATGCATTTTCCAACTGAACAAGCCTGATCCCTGAGATTTAACAACAAAAAAGCAATTTAGTCGGAACCAAAAGGTGATTTTATGGCAGAAACACGGAACCCTGGAAGACTTTTGAAAACTGAAATATGTGCAATCAAATTATGTCAGTGATGAATATAGTTTAATTGTACTACACATAAGATAATATATTTGTAAAGAACAGACTGACAAAAAGGTGTCTCTGAATATAAATTGTATAGCTTTCTTGAGTTACGAGGCTTCTTGAGAAGCAATGTGTTTAAATATTTTTCTTACCACAGATTAGAGTGGGGAGTCAGTGTCAGTGTAACAAAAGGAGCAGGTTAACTCCACACTGATGTAAAGAAGAAAGATCACTGTCACTTCCACAGCTGAAGAGGCTCCAAAGCTGAAACAGTGTCTCTTCTTTCTTTCTGCTTTTCAATGTGGAATTAACTTCTACTGATTACCACAGACATTGAACTAAATGTCAATGTTTTCTAATATCACAGCTGCATGATATGTTCCGGGCTTTATATACAAGAAATAAAAGTATCTATATATATACATTATATGTCATGTTTAAATGGACAAATAAAAGTATGTACATGTACACTGCATATAATATAAATATATACAAATGAAAAGATCCAAACAGTGTCAGTTCTCTAAGTTCAGTCCTGAGCTCACTCAAGGTGGTCAAGTACATCAGCTACACTGGTGTGCTGAGACATATAAACACCATATCGACACACACTTAGGTGCACAAATGCTATTTCAATGGGATCCAGTTAAGATAGTTAATTCCTAGAAATTGGTATCATTAAGCAATTTTAAACATCACAGTATATAGTATTCTGCATGTCTTCATAACCACATGGATATACTGTACTTAAATATGTGGCCTGATTTTAATAAGGAGCTTAATGCCTGCATTAGATACTGTATAGTTGTCCTGTCATTCTCCAAGATCAAGTGCTCAGAGGAGCAGGACCTTCCTGCTTCTCCCTGAGTGTGATTGTTCTCATCTGTTAGACAACTGTTAGACATAGTAGGTCAAAGTAAACTAAATATTCGACTTGATTTAACTTCTTTGTTTCTGCCCTGCATGATGTTGACCTCAAACATTACGGAAGGTTAGTTTTCCTTTCCCTGAGGAAGCAGTAAGTCTTATTTCTTCCTACTGCAGACATGGGCACACCTTCAAAGACTGCAAGGAAGGAACCTGAACCTCTTGAACCAAATTATGTTGACATAAATTATATATGGCTTATATACTATATCATTTATAAACTATTAATAAAAACACCCATGTATTTCAATTATGACATCTACATGCAAAAACAAAATGATTCAATGAAGACTTGGAGCAGAGCATTAATTTTACCAGTTAATCACAAACAAAATGAGAAAGGGGAAAATAAATTCAGGGGTGCGTGAAAAACAGGTAATTGAAAAGCACAAAGAGCAGCAACAGCTCCATTCCAATTTAAATTCCGATGACAGAAAAGTGAAAACTTCACATCAGTAGTGATAAAAGTGCTTCTTTAGCATGAGACTGGGTAGAATTTTTTAGAAATTACTTTTTTAAATTATTTGGGGTTATTATCAAAACAATTTAAGCTTAATTAAAGCCTGCATCAGGAAATAAGGAACCAATATGCTCATTGGTCCCATTATACGAAGTCTGCTTTTTAATAATTACCTGTGTTGAGAGAACTTAGAATAGTTTAGTACTGTTCCTATCACTATTGAATTAATTGATTGATTGATATTGATTATATAATTGTTGGTTTCTTAAACGAGGTATACATCCATCAATGTTCTTACAGTTTTATCCCATACAGGGTCACAGGGGGAGCCCAAGTCTATACCAACAACCAACGGGTGCAAGGCAGGGTACACCCTGGAAGGGACGCCAGTCTATCACAGGTTAGACACTCACATACTGTAGACATACACACTCACACCAGGGCCAAGTTTCCCAGAAGCCAATTGACCTACCATTACATTTTCAGGCTGTGGGAGGAAACTGGAGCACCTGGAGGAAACCCATGTGAACACGTGAAGAACATACAAACTCCACACAGACAACACCCCAGGAATGGAACCCAGGCACAGCCAACCGCTGCGCCACCATGCTGCCCAAAACCCGATGATATTAATTAGTCAGTCTACAGTTTCACTGCAGACGTCATTGTTCACTTTGTGAGGCTTATGACAAATACAATTCCCTATTTCATCCATATCTCTGTCTTAAGGCGTCTAAAAAGAAATCAAGAAATCCAGCAATCAATCCATCCAGCTTACCGGCAAATGTAACCTTCACGTCACCCTGAGGATGTTTGGCCTCACAGAAGAAAGCTTTTCCTGAGTTCCAGTCGGAGGTGGGCAAGGACAGCTGGCTGGTGGAGGAGTAGGTCTCCCCATTGAGCACGGACGGGTATTTCCTGAAGGGGGTCAGCTCTTTTTCGGTACTGTCGGTCCACTTGAAGGTCAGGGAATCGGGCAGGAACCCTGTGGCCAAGCAGCCCAAAGCAACCACATCTCCACTCGTTCCAGAGCCGCATGAGGCCACCAGAGGGAACAGGGTTGGCTTAGTCGGTGAAGCTGAAGATGGAAACACGACACAATAGATTACTATCCATGACAGAGTTCCAGTTTATTTTGTTGTAGCCTGTCCACACTTTCATAGGTTTCCCTGAAGACATTCCTTGCTTTCCTATTCCCTTCTCATTCTTCAGCTTCCAACATAGCCCTGACTGCTCCTCCCACATCCAGAGAGATGTTCATTCCCAAAGCAGCTTCTTCTGGACTTGTCAAGTGTCTACATGCTGAAGTGTATGATGCGTCATTATTCATACTGAGAAGAAACGGCATCTGTCTTCAAAGATTTTACAGATCACCTATGTTTCCCAACATTTTGGAGCGGATAGTTAATGTGCACAGGAGCAAAACTGATCAGACTTCATACTACAAGGAAGTATTGGGGAATAAACTGAGCTCTGGCCTATTTGCAGCTCAGTCGTTGCAAAGCCATGTTATTATTATTTTTTTCTATATGAGCAACACTCCTCCTATCTGGAGAGCAGTCCTAGGTAGCACTTGGTCCAAGTCTCAGTTAACCCTGCTGGAATGAGGTGCTTTAGTCTAGAGGCTCCAGTCCACCCAGTTGTGTTAGATGGCCAGGGGGAGAAAGGTTAACTTGCACCAACAGTATTTCACCACTGTGCAAGACCAAGATGAACTCTGACCCTCCAAGCCACTTCAGCTGAAGGACAGTATCTTAACCTCAGCTCTGTCTGAGTATGTTTACTACAGGCAGACCTCTGGTGCACCTCTGGGGATGAGAGCTGGAACACAAGACTCTAGATTCTCTAAGATTCTCTAAGAGTCTAGATTTCTTTAAAATAATCTGTTACTTCTAACTGCTCACAGAGTCACATCACGGCAATTCACCACCAAACAAAACAAATGTAAAAATCTCAAAACTATTTTTTAACCAGTTAATTTTTAAAAATAACATTTAAACAATATTACAACTATTTACTGGCAGAACTATGGTAATACTGCTTACCACAATAATTAATTTTCTCCTTTCACATATATTTCTTTTTAATATTTTCTCTTTTCTCATACTGTTGCAAAAACTCGAAACAAAATCTGCTCTGGGGATGAAAAAAATCACCCCTTAAATTTCAAACTAATCTATATTATTAATAAAGCAACATTTTCTACAGAAATGCATTTAATAACAGCAAAGATTAATGCATCATTAAAAAAGCATTAAGAGTAAAAATATCAGTTTTGGGAAGAAAAATAATTTTAAGCATCCCTTCAAAAACAAGAGGTTAGATAGGCATAAACTTCTATTGACTCCTAAAAGGCAAACTGATCACTCTGCAGACACAGATATCCAGCCGTGAATAAAGAGGGGAACATAATTAACATTAACAGTTCAACAAGATATTATAAATTAGACTGAAACATGGCCCTATTAGGAAACGTTTTAATCTTTAATTCTCGCCGAACAGATCAAGCAAACTCCCGTGTCGCAAAGGACACGGCAATAATTACTGAACGGGACCGCACAAACAACAAAGGAATATATTTTATATTTCTGCTCAGAGAACCTAGTTGAACTTTATTCCAGGAGTCACCTTTCAGTGCTGATAAATCGTACCTCGCACATGATAGGTAACAACTGTATAAAGACTTGATAAGAACTTAATATTTTTCATCATTAGTATAATACCCTACTTCATTTAACTAATAAATCCCGTTTTAAGAACGCATCAGTCACTTAATAGAACTTAAGTGTCAAATCATTAATAATAACTGTTAATAGCTATCGATAGCTTAATAGCACATAGCAAGCCAGTAATACAGTATTGTACGAATATGTACAGTAACTAATACATGGCTGATATCCTCATTATTAAATTAAATGAGACTACGCCCGGACCAATTTAAACCAAATTAGGTAGATTCCGAAAGTGAAGACATTTATAAACACGTTATTAAAAAAACACACACAGTGACATGGAAAACGCATCAGACTAATATAACCTAAGGATATAATACTACAATCTACAGCATACCGACTGGGCTTCGCAGTTGTGTGATATGTGATCTGGATGTGTCTTTCTGCTTTTAAAAATGATTTGAAAAAGAAATCTACAATGTCAACCTAAACCTTAATCTTTCTTAAGAGCAATTGATATTTTAGATTATTTCTCGCAAATTATATTCATTTTATGCCGTAGAAATAAAGACAAGCAAGTGGGGAACACAAGACACTCGTACATTTAACATAAGAAGTAATTTAAATAATTGATCAATTAATTCGATCACATCGTGTGCAGTAAGTACAGCGGCAGCGTTTGTCACTGTTTACGTCTATTATTAAAACCTTTAAGTGTGAATTGAAATAACTTTAAGGAAGACGCGTCAATTAATTAACTGATTAAGATCTTCTGGTGGTACGGTTTATAGAATATTGTCTGTCATATAAACGTAAGCAGTATCATATAAGGTATTTTTACTTTTTTATTCCTTTTACATATTTTAAATGAATAATTAAAAATTAAACGATCCCATTTTAAATGGTCTATTTTATATATTTAAAAAGTATCGTTTTACACCTGCGGATTTTTAAGCAATTACTTTTTTTTTTCTAATAGAAAAAGGAGAACACAAATGATCGCAGTTTAGTCTCATCGAACAGGCTACAACACATCCAACATTCAATACAGTATATTTAGCCTGTGAAAAGAAACTCAGCCGCTTAACATTTTGACAACGTCCAACTTTAAAGGGACGCTTTGGAAGTGAAACCGCTTAAATCATTTTTGTTCAAAACGTTAAAAAAAAACTAAATTAAACTAGAATACCGAATAAAAAACATAACTGTAATTCTTACCTGACGATACGGTCACCATTGTTCCTTTTCCCCAGTAATCAAACCAGTCGCACTGTGACTTAAAACTCACCTACCCTGAATCCAAAACTTTTGGAGTTTACAGTCGTCTATAGTCTGAATGATTCCGACGCATAACATTTAACTTAAACTGAACAAGAAACGTGGAGACATTGTTTTATTTGTCTTATGAAATTATTTTGACATTTCTATCTGATTCTGCGTTCAAAGGTTGCAACGGTATCTTCCTAACTGTACGCCGTCATGGTGCTCAGATCTTGTCACTTCAATGTGGATTTTGTACGTTTCTTTTGCTGATTATTGCGTTTTGTGGCGCATGATATCAGCTTATTGCTGCAGTTTCGTGTAGACGTTCGGCAAACTAATTGGATAGGATTTTTTTTTAACCAAAACAGAATTTTTAATTTAAATCATTAGCTTCTTGATGTTCGGGTCTCGGAGATTTCCTCATTAGACGCTACGCACCCCGGTGTAAACGGAGCAAGTGTCGCTTTGCACAGATGAGCTTTCTTAATTTTACATCGAAATCATGAAAGGTATTGCATTGCTAGGAAAATAAAAGAAACGGATTTCTTACCGGAGGTGACCGTGACCATGGTGCCTTTTCCCCAGTAGTCAAAAGCCCAGTAGCACAGTGACTGACT